GCGCGTCCCCGCCGGCGGGCCAGCCAGTAATTTTGCGGAGGATCTGCACGAACGAGATGGGCACGGAAAGAATGGGTACAGTCAGGCCTTGCAGAATCCTGCAGGCTCCTACACCCAAGCCCGGGTCCATGCGACCCTGTCCCTGCAGGACCCTGCAAGATCTGGCGCTCTGGCGACCCCCGGTTGCATCGACGCCCGTCTCAATTTGGACGCCCGAAATGGGTATGGAAAGAATGGGCACAATGCCCAACAGCAGTTCTTGTTCGTCTTGAACAGGACTTGTTGTCCGCGCCGCCGCGGCCTGTGTCCATTCGAGACAGGAGGCCGCCTGCCCAACCCATTCTTTCCGTACCCATTTCGGGCGTCCAAAGGGGGGCGTCATCGAGGGCGCCTTTACCCTCTCCCCTCCCCCTCCTCCCCTTCCTTACCGATAAGCACTCACCCCTCCTCCCTCCTCCTCGATCCCGCTGCCTTGCAAGCGGTCCCTCCCTATTCCTCCCTCCTCCTCGTGAGGAGGATGGGGCGTCGGGCGTTTCGTGAGTTCAGACGAGGGACCAGTGCCCATATTGCTACATTTTCCTTAGTTGTTCTCCTTTGCGGGCCTCCTGGGAGGCCTGGCCCTCGTCGCCCGCGCTGTACTCGCCCCGAGAAATCTGGGTGGGAACACGTCCTGGGAGAGGTCCGGGGAGCAGCGGCATCGGTACTTCTACTCTCGGGCCAGACGAAAGGGGGGGATAGGGAAAGGGGGGGATACGAAATTTGCTGCATGCAGCTGGTTTCAGCCCCAACGAGGGGCCCAGTCCTCGATACACGGCTGCCTCCGGCACCAGGAGGCACCGCGAAAATCAGATACGTGAGCTGATTCTCAACCCCCCCCTTTGCTATCCCCCCCTTTCGCCCGGCCCGATACTCTCCAGGATGAAGAAGGCTTGGAGAGTTGGAGGGTCGCGCCGCACTGACGATGCATCGGCGATGCGGCTCGATGTCGAGCCAGAATTTCTACACGCCGATGGCGCCGATGCATCGCCGACGTTGCCGCGTCGGGCGTTGCGCAATTAGTTCGGCGCAATCGAAATGGGTACGGAAAACATGGGCACGACGACCAACGACGGTTCCTGTCCATTCAGAACAGCATTCGCTATCGGCGTCGCCGCAATGATTGTCCATTCGAGGGACAAGCACGCCTGCTCAACAGGGTCGGGCGTCGGGTGTTGCATAAGAAAGGTTTTTCCCCAGCCATCCTGTGGTGTTGGGTCGCCGTTTTGAAGAGACATCGCCCCGCATCTCATCCTCGCCTCCTTGCCCTCTTCCCCCCTCCCATCATCATCGTCATCACCATCATCATCATCATCATCATCATCATCATCATCATCATCATCATCATCATCATCATCACCACCACCACCACCACTATTATCATCCTCGTCATCATTGTCATCATCATCACCATCTCCATTATCATCATCATCAGCATCATCATCGCCGTCATCAGCATCATCAGCATCAGCATCATCATCATCATCAGCATCATCACCGCCATCAGCTTTGGCATACCCATCACACGGTTCGTGGCCCCATGGGAGTTCCACGAAGGCCCACATGGCAGGGTTCACATGGCTGTCCCGCCCCATTTCGGCATGCTCCTCACACGTTGCGTGCCCCCACAGGGAGCTCCACCAAAGGCTTCTCATGGCGGCCCCTCCCCAGTTCGGCACACCCCTCTCACGTTCCGTGGCCCCATACGGAACTCCACCAAAGGCCCCAGCTGAAAGGTTCGCATGGCGGTTGTGCCTATTTCGGCACACCCCCTCACATGTTCCGTGGCCCCATAGGGAGCCCCGCAGAGGGCCCCCGTGGCAGCGTTCGCATGGCGGCCCCGCCCCATTGTGGCACACCCTTCGCATGCTTCGCGACCCCATACAGAGCTCCACCGGAGCCCCCAGCGGCAGAGTTCGCGTGGCGGCCTCGTCTCAGTTCGGCACACCCCGCGCAGGTGTCGTGGTTCGCATGGCGGCCCTGCTGTATTTCGGCATGCCCCTCACACGTTTTGTGACCCAATTGGGGGCTTCACCTAAGGCCCCAGTGGCATTGTTCGCAGAGCGGCCCCGCCCAATTTCGGCAAACCCCTCACACGCTTCGTGGCCCCATACGGAGCTACACTAAAGGCAGCAGTGGCAGTGTTCGCATGGCGACCCTGCTGCATTGCGGCAGACGCCTCACACGTTTCGTGGCCGCATAGGGAAGTCCACCGAAGGAGCCAGGGGCAGGGTTGGCAGGGCGCTCCCGCCCAATGTTGACACGCCCCTCAAACGTTTCGTGACCCAATCGGGGGCTTCACCTAATGGCCCCATTTCGTGGCAGGGTTCCAAGCATGGCGGCCATTTCGGCGCCTGATTTCAGGGCGCTCCCGCCAATGTGACACGCCCCTCACGTTTCGTGACCCAACGGGGGCTTCACCTAAGGCTGGCAGGGTTCGCATGGCGGCCCCGCCTGATTTCGGCACACCAGGGCCCCATACGGAGCTCCAAGAAAGGCAGCAGTGGCAGTGTTCGCATGGCGACCCTGCCTCATTTCGGCACACGCCTCACACGTTTCGTGGCCGCATAGGGAAGTCCACCGAAGGAGCCAGGGGCAGGGTTGGCAGGGCGCTCCCGCCCAATGTTGACACGCCCCTCAAACGTTTCGTGACCCAATCGGGGGCTTCACCTAAGGCCCCAGTGGCAGGGTTCGCATGGCGGCCCCGCCTGATTTCGGCACACCAGTCAAACTTTTCCTGGCCCCATACGGAGCTCCAAGAAAGGCACCAGTGGCAGTGTTCGCATGGCGACCCTGCCTCATTTCGGCACACGCCTCACACGTTTCGTGGCCGCATAGGGAAGTCCACCGAAGGAGCCAGGGGCAGGGTTGGCAGGGCGCTCCCGCCCAATGTTGACACGCCCCTCAAACGTTTCGTGACCCAATCGTGGGCTTCACCTAAGGCCGCAGTGGCAGGGTTCGCATGGCGGCCCCGCCTGATTTCGGCACACCAGTCAAACTTTTCCTGGCCCCATACGGAGCTCCAAGAAAGGCACCAGTGGCAGTGTTCGCATGGCGACCCTGCCTCATTTCGGCACACGCCTCACACGTTTCGTGGCCGCATAGGGAAGTCCACCGAAGGAGCCAGGGGCAGGGTTGGCAGGGCGCTCCCGCCCAATGTTGACACGCCCCTCAATCGTTTCGTGACCCAATCGTGGGCTTCACCTAAGGCCCCAGTGGCAGGGTTCGCATGGCGGCCCTGCCTGATTTCGCTACACCAGTCAAACTTCGTCCTGGCCCCATACGGAGCTCCAAGAAAGGCACCAGTGGCAGTGTTCGCATGGCGACCCTGCCTCATTTCGGCACACGCCTCACACGTTTCGTGGCCGCATAGGGAAGTCCACCGAAGGAGCCAGGGGCAGGGTTGGCAGGGCGCTCCCGCCCAATGTTGACACGCCCCTCAATCGTTTCGTGACCCAATCGGGGGCTTCACCTAAGGCCCCAGTGGCAGGGTTCGCATGGCGGCCCCGCCTGATTTCGGCACACCAGTCAAACTTCGTCGTGGCCCCATACGGAGCTACACTAAAGGCAGCAGTGGCAGTGTTCGCATGGCGACCCTGCCTCATTTCGGCACACGCCTCACACGTTTCGTGGCCGCATAGGGAAGTCCACCGAAGGAGCCAGGGGCAGGGTTGGCAGGGCGCTCCCGCCCAATGTTGACACGCCCCTCAAACGTTTCGTGACCCAATCGGGGGCTTCACCTAAGGCCCCAGTGGCAGGGTTCGCATGGCGGCCCCGCCTGATTTCGCTACACCAGTCAAACTTCGTCCTGGCCCCATACGGAGCTACAAGAAAGGCACCAGTGGCAGTGTTCGCATGGCGACCCTGCCTCATTTCGGCACACGCCTCACACGTTTCGTGGCCGCATAGGGAAGTCCACCGAAGGAGCCAGGGGCAGGGTTGGCAGGGCGCTCCCGCCCACTGTTGACACGCCCCTCACACGCTTCGTGACCCAATTGGGGGCTTCACCTAAGGCCCCAGTGGCAGGGTTCGCATGGCGGCCCCGCCTGATTTCGCTACACCAGTCAAACTTCGTCCTGGCCCCATACGGAGCTCCAAGAAAGGCACCAGTGGCAGTGTTCGCATGGCGACCCTGCCTCATTTCGGCACACGCCTCACACGTTTCGTGGCCGCATAGGGAAGTCCACCGAAGGAGCCAGGGGCAGGGTTGGCAGGGCGCTCCCGCCCACTGTTGACACGCCCCTCACACGCTTCGTGACCCAATTGGGGGCTTCACCTGAGGCCCCAGTGGCAGGGTCCGCACGGCGGCCCTGCCTCGTTTCGGCACGCCAGTCCAACTTGTCGTGGCCCCGCAGAGAGTTCCTTCGAAGGCGCAGTGGCAGGGTTCGCAGGGCGCTCTGGCCCCGTGTCCTTGGCATCGCTCGGACGTGTGGATTTTTCCTTCGGCGAGGACCATCGAGGAGCATCCTTGATCATTTGGCGAAAAAACCACGCACGAAACCGAAAAAAAAAACACAGGGAATGGACGTCTGAGCGATGGCGAGTGTCGGCACACCACTCACACCTGTTGTGGCCCAGTGGGGAGAGGACCCGCCGACGGCCTCAATGGCAGAGCTCGCACGGCGGACCTGCCAACCTCGGCACACCCCTCACACGCTTCGTGGCCCCATAGGGGGAGCTCCACAGAGAGCTGAATGCGGTATCCACACTTGCACATGGGCGGGCCCCTCGCCGGGATGATTTCCCCCCCCCCTGGCGAGAACGTCCGTTACAGTCGGGGCCCCGAAGAAGGGACCCTTTTCGTTGGGGAGGGGCTCCGCGTTCCTTAAGTGTTTCACAGCTTGCCTCAGGTTCTCCTTATGTTTTCGATAGGAAATCGAAGTTCTCTTATGGAAAAAAGGGGCCTCGTTCCTTTTATTTGGGGTTCCTTAGGTCAACGCCGCGACTGTAACAGGAGGGGGGAG